AGATGACATCAGGAAACAAGGAGGTACCACATGGCAGAGAACCGCTCAAGATAGGGAAAGATGTAGAGAACTGGGGGAGACCTATATCCAACAATGGAAGGATAGAAAATAGAATAAAAAAAAATGGAGCTTGAAGGTCAGATATTAGAAGAAGTGATAGAGTTTAAATATTTAGGCATCACATTATCTAGCTACGAAAAGGTCAAAACCGAAGCGTGGAAGATCAAGTGAATAGATTAAACAGAGCCGCAGGCTGCCTAATGAAACAAAACGAAAGACAGAATTTACAAAAAGTCATCAGACTAATAATGACATACGCGGCATAAACAAGACCTGATACAGAGAGGACAAAAAGGATGTTAGAAACAGCAGATATAAAAACACATCGAAAAATTAATAGTAAGACACTATGAGACAGAGCTAGAAGAACAGATATACGATGTGGATGCACGGTCGGGAACATTAAGAACTGGGTAAAAAATAGAAGAGTAGAATAAAACGATCATATAAGTCGAATGACAACAAATAGAGTAGTAAAGACGGCAAGAGATGATTTCCCAATAAAAAGACGATCAGTGGGAAGACCATGAAAACGCTGGAACAACTTTGGAGACTGGGGGCACATTGAAAAACAGACAGAGTCATGTCTATATAAAAAGAAGAAAACGAAGAAGAAGAAGAAGAGGAAGAATACATTTGTTGCTAAAACCTAAAACTGTATGCTATAGGTTTCGAAGGTTAGGCTTTAGTAATCGAAACATCATAATGGCCTGTCAATGAAAAGGACAGATTGTTTTGATCTCATGAAAATCATAAAAAATGGAAAAATCGCGCCACTTTTATTTATTTAACACCTTTATTTAATCTAAGTTTATTTGTGGCACAATACAAAAATTTCATACAAAATCTGAATTCTTTACCTTTAAAACCCATCTTGATTTTTGTCGATAGGTCACTTAAATCAAAAGATCGAATTTTTACCGTCGAGCTAATACAAATGATTTCTCGCGCATAACTGACAATCAAATACGACGCTCCCTTCAAGCGTTTTTTGTTAGAGAATGCTATAATATTTTGGTTTAAAATTATCTTAAAATTGTTAAATCGATTTTTTTGCGTTTTTACGCCCCTACAAAGGGAGTTTTAGGGGAAGCCTGAGGGTAAAAGTAAAAAACTTTTTTGCATCATTTTTGGGGTCCCAAAATTAATATTCTCTGCAAAATCCAGCTTGTTCATATGATTTTTAGAGATTTAGCGACATTTTCGTCTCTGACGTCTGGAGTATTATTATAAGGAGTGGAAAATTACATTTAAATCACAAAAATGCTGCATTTCATTAATAGGTACCGACAAGAAAAATTCAGTTATCACACATTCTTATAGAATAAATTAAATAAATAAAGTAACGAACTTTTGATTTTAAAAATGAAAGATACTTTTATACCTTTATAAAAGATAATTTGTTAGTAACTAAAACGAAAAATCAACCGGCTGTATATTATATTATATGAAAAGCTTATTATTTAGAGCAACACAGTATGTACGGCAAAAAATATGGAATTATAGTACTTCTCAATTACTAACAGATTACTCTATATATTATAAACTTAAAATAGATTCTATATTTTAATGGTACCTCGTAAAAATTTTTATTACGTGATTTATTATGTCGGACTGATGACAACATAACAAATCTTAAAATGTGTTTTTATACCTAAAACTAATTTATATAAAATAAATTAAATAATCTATTAGTATAATAAAGAAATAAAGACTTTAAGACAAACTATCTTAGCTGACAAACCAATTAAATAAGTTGTAGTCTATTTTATATACGTTGACTTAATATTTAAATTTAATATTTAATTATTGATTACACCTATAGATTAGAGACATTAGTTTTATTTATAACTATTTGATTTAAATATTGTTAAAAAAACAAAGCCGCCTGTAAAGATTTAATTAACACACTGAACTGATTCATAAGGATCAACATGTATCAAATTTTCATCCACAGCTAATAGACAATTAGAAAATATTGTAAGTAGAAAAGAACACTTATTCTATGTATCAAGATATGTTAAATTGCTTTATAAGCAAAGTACGAGTAAATACTCTTATTATTTCAAAAACTCAAAATTACGCTAATATTCCAGTTCCATTTTGGCATTGAAATTCTTTTAGCTGCGTCCGTAAATAATGTTTCTCAGAACTATTTGATTTGAAACTGTCCCTGAGGGATATATTATTTAACATTGACGTCATTCTTGCTCTATGCTCCACTTGTATTTTATTTAGTATATTAGAACTAGAACTGAAATGGAAATGGGCTGGACACAATGAACGTCTCCAAGATGGACGATGGAACAATGCCATCGGAAAGTGGCGTCCATACAATGCAAAGAGATCAAGAGGCAGACCACAGATGAGGTGGAAAGATGACATCAGGAAACAAGAAGATCCCACATGGCAGAGAACAGCTCAAGAAAGGGAAAGATGGAGAGAACTGGGGGAGACCTATATCCAACAATGGAAGGATAGAGAATAGGTTCAAAAAAAATTAGAACTAGAGGGATACACAGGTCATAGACATTCTTTATTCAAAACACATATGTGATTTGGGAATATCTTTTATGAAAATTTCCGTATGACACCAATGCTAGTCTATTCTTCTGATTAACTCTCTTGTTTGGCTGTATCTTCCTAATTTATTCTCGTAGCAAAGATATTTATGGGTATACACTTGTTCAATTTGAGTGCCATTAGTTAAAATGTAGACGGAAAACACACGAAATCACAATGACCACTACACTCCTTCCAGGGGGTCAGAACTGCAGAGAAAGCTGAAATGCTGTATACGAATTTATTACACTTTTCCAAGAATCTGCCTGAAATGCTAGTCCAGAATGTACAGCTTTACAAATAAAAGAAATTGATATTAAAAATCAGATTAAAGAAAAGAGGCAACCAAGGAAGATAAAATAGAGACAAAAGACAGCTAAAAAATACAATATTACAGTACAAAAACACCTAAGTTGAAAATTCTCTGCTAAATTTAATACTAACAGCAGATACCGATTATTTACTTTGGAAGGCAGAAAAAGATCTTATTGTGAAGTAGCCAACTTGTTCAATAATACTTTCCCAAACCGTTCTCCTTTCATAAGGCGGTATAAAAAACTGTGAAGCGATTTGAGGAATCTGGAAAAGTTAAAGATAGACACCGATCAGGTAGACCGAAAAGAGTTATGCGTGACAACAAAACACATGAAGTTGCACAAGTACATGATGTAGGTCGTTCTTCAGTTTTACGTGTATTACGTAAGAATAAATTAAAACTATACAAAATTAACTTATCGGAAGAATTAAGTGAAGATGACTTTGATCATAGATTAGAGTTTACTAAGGTAATGATAATTAAAACTGAAAATGATGAAAATTTCGTTAACAGAATAGGTTTTTCCGATGAAATAACCTTAACACTGTATGGAAGTGTAAATCGATACAATTTAAGGTACTGGAGTGACGTAAATTCACACTGGATGCGTGAAAACCATACTTAAAGACCACAAAAATTAAATCTATGATCAGGTATAGTAGGTACTTAGTTCATTTGGCCATTTTTTATCGACGGAAATTTAACGTCAGATAGTTACGAAACGTTACTTAGAAATTAAATTGTACCTACACTGAGAAAATTGTTTTGGCGCCAATTTTAATCAGATATGGTTTTAGCAAGATGGAGCTCCAGTTCATTTTGGTGTAAATGTTTGGCGTTATTTAGATGAGATATCTCCCGGATTATGAATTGGTAGACGAGGTAGATTTTATTGGCCTCCACGTTCACCTGATTTGAATCCTAAAGATTATTTTTATTGGAGATACTTGAAAAATTCAGTTTACAAAACTAAACCAGCAAGTCTTGCAGAGCGAAGGCAACGATTTATCGATGAATCTCAAATAATTTCTAGACAATCATGCAGAAATGTGGTAGACGCATTCTACCATCGATTAGGGTACTATAAACTCACAAATGGAGCATATTTGAACACTTGATAAAGTAACCAATATGTTAAAAAATGTTGTAATCTATCAATTGTTACGTTTTTTTAGTTGAAAATAGTTAGTAATAAAAAATTTATTGAGACAATTAGGCGTTGCCATACTTCTGTTTTATGTGTTCCAGACTACATAAAATTATAATTGATACATATGGTTGAACTCGTATTAAATAGAAGATTCCAATAATGACTGAATATACAGGGTAATGAATTTGAAAAAGGAAAGTTACTATAATATAAGAGAAACGGCAAATTTGGTAACATTGCAAATATTAAATATAGGATCTTCGTATCCCAAAATAGGTGTACCTTAAATTTTGTACAATTATGACCGACAATTTACAAGCTAATTGGCAGATTCCAGACTTTTGGGCCATTCTGTATACATAATATATCCATACATTAAAGACCTTATAATAATCAGTGAAAAAAAAAATTGAAGTGATAAAAGCATCTATAAAACAATGAAAAAGAAATTATGAAGACACAAAGATAATTGAAAATATATGTAATAACAAACGATTAGATATTAGAAACAGTCAAAATAAGAATATTACCCAAAAGAAGAAACAAAAATTAAGTAAATAGGTATGCATAGGTCATAAAAACTACCCTTTACAAAATAATCAGCTAATACACTGCAAAATCTGCTCTGTTTGGCCGCTAACGGTGGTGGCTTTGATCGGTGAGGCAATCATTATTTGGTCATAAATAATAAATTCTGGTACTAAATATATTATGGTGCATAATTATATATTATAAGCAATGTGCTTACATACAAAGTTTTGAATATAAAAGTAATCTCTAAACTATACTGTGTTCCAAACTTAAAGTATAGAAGAAATATATTGGGTTATATTAAATTTTTTAAAATGTCTTGTATTTCTGAAATAGTCTTATTGGCTGTTTCTGGTACTAAGAAATAGACAAATATTGTTCCTAATACACAATTACCGGCAAAAATCCAAAACACCACTGAATTCCTATAGTTTCCATTACGAGCGGTATACCGAATGTCACAATAGAATTAAGAATTCCAAATGCCAAAACAATTGAAGAGACCGCGGTAGCTTTTACTTGGTTTGTGAACAAATCGTTCATGAGAGCTATGGGAACAGACGCATTTCCTATGTTGTTTACTGTGGTGAATACTACCAGTGCAACAACTGGAAACCATGTACACTGTTCAACAAAAGTATATCCGCTATATTTTAACTGGAAATATAAACCAAATAAACTTAACGGAATTATTGATGTACTGGTTGAAAATAGAATAAGGTTTCTTTTACCTACTTTTTCAACAAAAAGTGATGAACCAAGGTAACAGAATATTTGAACTATAGTTACTAATAAAGCACAAATATTACTTGGAATGGGAGAATCTGCTTTGTCGAAGATGGGTTGTAAATAACTTGTCATAGACTGACTGCCTCCTAATACTAGTAGATTATAAGCGCCTACAGCCACGATGAATCCATTACGAGAACTTTTGTCAGACAGCAATTTGGAGCAGCCCCCTTGTTTACTATTTGAAGTTATTGCTAACTCGTTTTGTATTCTGCTAACTTCTATTTCAACTTCTTTTGGCGATTTTTGTCTGAGCCGTCCTAGTACATCTTGAGCTTGGTATAGGCGTTTAAATTTAATAAGTTGAACTGGCGATTCAGGTAAGATAGTTGCAAAGAAAATCGCATTTAGAGCTACTGGTATAGCACATATTAGAGTGTAATATTTTACTGAGAGGTATGGTCCTGTTAAAAAACTTAACATCATTCCTATCGGAAGCCCAACTTGGACTAAACACGTAAATCTACCTCTGTTATGTTCTTCGGTTATTTCACCCACATACACCGGAAGACCTACATTCATTGCACCGGTACAGAGTCCCACAATGAAGAGTAAAGGTATGTACATGTATATAATAGACGAAAATGATAATAATATTAAAGATATTGTCATGATTAAGCATAAGCATAATAACGTTGGTTTCCTACCGAATATGTCAAAACATCTTCCAATGAGTAGAGGTCCAATAACAGAACCAGATGGCTGAGATGCTCCAATTAACGATAATTGTAAAATTGTGACAGGTTTTCCCAAAGGATTGACATCCATGTCAGTTGATAATATTTGTTCTGAGACTGGTGACATCCATGCTCCCATCAATCCTAATGTTAATTGTGCTAAATTTGCTGTAACAAACGAAATAAGATCTATAATAAAGTAGTAAGACACTGGGTTATGGCAGATATTGTTTAACTTGAAATTAGTTATTTATAATTGTTTAACTAATTATAACTTAAAACTATATAACAATGGTGAAATATTGATATGTATTTGGTCGTAAAAAAATTCAATTTATTTTTGGTCAACTTTTTAATCTACTAATAGTTTTTTTTTCGTATAGATAAACATAATTTAATATTTTTATGTATAAATACCCCATTAAAAATAGTAAATTGTATTAAGGTGTCACGATAAAATAGCTTGAGCACAATATTAAAAAAAAAGATAAGAATAATGTAATGCGAAATCTGGAGTAATCGAAATGAGATAGGAAAAGTTAAGGTAGAGGAAAAGTTAGTAAAAACTTTAGACCATAAAAACTGATAAACACGCCGTTATGCTATCCTCTAGTCTCGAAGAATGAAGCCAACATAAAACGATTCACACAGCTGTGGGTGACATCAGTTCAAGGATATACCCTAAGTAATAAAAGACTTGATAAGGAAAAAGAACAGAGCTTAACAGACAGCAAGAAGAACAAGAAACCAAGCAGACAAAAATAGAGCAAATCGATTAAATAGAGAGGTCAAAACAGCACTACAACAACACCGTAGTGAAAGCTGGGAAAACCACATAAGAGACATGGAAGAACAAAGTCCAAATACGCAAAATATTTGGCAACTGCAAAAAATCCTACGAAGTGACAGAAAACCAATTCCCCCACTACACGGAGAAAATTGCATAGTCTACAGCACAGAGGAAAAAGCAGAGGTTATGAGGAGTACTCTCGAGAGAGAGTGTACATTAAATTACTACCCAGACGAAGACATCGACTTCATAGAAGAAGTCGAAAGACAAAAAGAAAGACCGGAAAATCCAAACGAAATTATCCCTCCAACAACACCGGAGGAGATAAATGAGCTAATCAAGAACAGCTCACCAAAAAAGGCTCCCGGTCCAGACCAGATTACGAACAGAGCTCTAAAGTATCTACCAGCGAAAGCCATCGTTTACCTAACCAACATCATAAACGCAATGCTAAGGTTCAAAAAATTCCCAAACAGATGGAAAGAGGCCCATGTCATAATGCTACCAAAGTCCGGCAAAGAAAGCACATTCCCACAAAATTACAGGCCGATAAGCTTACTACCAGCAATCAGCAAAATAGTAGAAAGAGTGATACTCAGCAGACTCCAAACGGAAACAGACAGGTCAAACATCATACCAGAAGCCCATTTGGCTTCAGATCAGAACACTCCAGCGAGCTACAAGTACTCAGACTAACAGAGTACATAGCAGCTGGATTTAACGACAAACAGTACACAGGAGCTGCATTCCTGGACGTAAGTAAAGCATTCGACAGAGTCTGGCATAAGGGACTATTATACAAAATGAGAGTTTACGGGTACAGCGGAGCAATGATAAGACTGATCTCTTCTTACTTGAGCAACCGCAGTTTCAGAGTCCGGATAGGACAAGTCCTGTCCGAACTCGGGAACCCGGAAGCTGGAGTACCAGAGGAAGCGGTACTTTCACCTCTGCTATACACGATATATACAGCAGACATACCTAGAACACCAGGTACATTATTAAGTCTCTATGCTCACGACACAGCGATAGCGGCCAAACACATAAATGTAGATATAGCAGTCACCAATCTACAGACAGCGTTAGATGACATTGAAGAATGGAGTCTAAAGTGGAAAATCAAAATTAATTCAGATATCAAGACACAAGCTGTACTTTTTCAAAAGAGGCGAAAACGACCGGAAGAACAGGTTAGTGTGCAAGACAATCCCATTGAGTGGAAAAGCGAAGCAAAATACCTCGGGGTAATAATGGACAAAGGACTAACCTTTAATAAACACGTAGAAGCTACAGTACAAAAAGCTAACATGGCAAGGGCCGCAATAAGAGGCCAAGCAGGAAGGAAAAGTAAACTCCGTATAAAAACCAAAATAAGGCTAATAAACAGTATAGTCCTTCCTATACTGACATACGCAATACGCATCACTTGCATGGGGACCCATATGCAACACAACGAAAAAGAAAATACAGGCACAACACAACACAAGCCTAAGAGAAGCGGTAAACGTACCAAGATACGTAGCTGAAAGATTCCTTTTCAGAGATTTACAACAAATCAGAGTGACTGACACAATGAAAGATAAAGCTAGGATAAAATTCGCAGAACTAGAGAACCACCCCAGTCAAATCCTAAGAGAGATAATGAGGTATGACGCTTTCCACAGATGGAAGCACAAAAGACCGAAACAACAAATAGTAGACTAAAATAAAACCAGAGAGAGAAAATAAAAAACCCCCGAAGATGGACAGAATTTTACAAAAAGCCCAGAGTGAGAAAAACTCCAAAATAATACCACACACACACAAGGAAGATAGTTCGTAGCTCAAATCACCCAGAATATCGCAAATCACCTCATACACAGTGGGCCCAGCTGCTCATACAAGGATACAGTCTGTATTGCGGTATTGTATAATATTTTATATATTTTCTTTATTATAATATAGACTATATACGAATTATGATTCTTCTGTTCACAGGTGACCTACAAAAAAATCACAAAAGACACAAAAAACGGCTTCGGCCACCAAAAAAATCAAAAAAATACTAACAAAAAACCAGCTTCGGCCACCAAAAAAAATTAACAAAAACCCCAAAACCCGGTCACGTAGGGCTCAACCCCTTGAGCACCAAGTCGCCGAACTGAGCCGGGACTCAGAGCGGAGACTTGAGGCCCAAGTAAGCAATTTTAGTTCGCGGATAAGCTACATTAAGATAAACAGGAATAAAGCGGAGATGCGCTGTCCTGAGTTTTTACATACGGTTAGGAAACCATGTTGGGGTTCTATTACCTAGGACCTCCACATGAAGAGCACTTGGCTGATTGTTGTGCCTCTATAGCGAATCAGATTGCTATAGGGGGAAAAGGGATGGTCTAGAGCATTGGAGCACGGTGGGGTGATTCCTGTTTTTAACTCGAGTTAAAACACCTTGCTCCGATGAATTGTTACACCCGATCGTACTACCTGGGTGAACATTTCTCATAGGCTGGGTTCAATCAAATTGCTTGCTTGCTTGGGTGACATCAGTTTATGGCAGAAACGGTAGAGATTAGAAGTGTTTATACGCATTGTCTACTTTTTAAAGTGTTCTAATTAAAAAAAATTTCAATACCTTAATATTTTAATTATGGTGGTATCTTGCAGTGCATTTAATTGTACGCAGCGACAAAAAAGGAATCGATAGATCATTTATGGGTAATTAAATTCACAAATTACACTTGAAAAACATACCAGAAATTTAGCACCTATTATTTTACTTTTTCCTCCCAAAGTGTTTAAAATAGATATATATATATATATATATATATATATATATATATATATATATATATATATATATATATATATATATATATATATATATATATATAAGAGAGAGAGTCTTATATATAATTTTTATTTTATAATTAGATTAAAAACTAAATGATTAAGTAAATAGATTGTTTTTCGCTCTGAAACTTTCGTTAAGGAAAATTATTAATACTTCTTATTAATGATCTGTTTAGCTTTGGCATGAATAACAGTTTAATATTTTATATTGTTTGTAGTTAGTCAATCAAGTTTTGATTATTGCTTTTTATTTTATTAGGATACGATGCATGCTTCTGTAAAAACTATCTTTAAGCAGCTACTTAAATCTAAGAGCACTAAAACATATCCACTGAAGGTAAAAAGCTTTGCTCTCACTCTTAATTTCTATTCACCAAAAGCTTACTTGTATGTCAGAAAAACTTTTCCTAACATCTTGCCTCATCCACGAGCTCTTCAAAAGTGGTATCAAGTAGTAGCTTGTGAGCCTGGAGTTCAAAAAGAAGCAGTGAATGTATTAATACAAAAAGTAGTTGAACTTAGAAATAATGAAAAATCATGTATCTGTGCTTTGATGGTCAATGAAATGTCAGAAAATAGAATGGATGGTGAAAAGTTTTTAGAGTAGGTGTAGCTTAAGATTTATTAGCAATTATAAAAGGTATCATAACATTATATTTACTATTTAAATAATTGAAAACATTAATTTAAGGTATGTTGACATGGAAAGTAAACCGCAAAGCGATTCTTTTGAAATTAAAGTAAAAGAAGCAATTATATTCTTCACTAATAGTTTAAATGATTCATGGAAGCCGTCGATAGGCTACTTTTTAATCGCTGGGTTATCAGGTGTTTAAAAAAGTAATCTACTAAAACTGTGCTTAAAAATCATGCACGAAGCTGATGTCACAATTACCAGTTTAACATTTGATGGTGCAGCATCAAATATTAGCATCGTTAAACAACTTGGAGTTGATTTATCGATTAATTCCAATAAAGTGTATTTTCTACATCCAGCAACAAATCAACCAATATATGTAATATATTGACCCTCCACATTTGTTAAAATTTATTCGCGATACTTTAGGCTATTACAATTTTTTTTTGACTGGAATAATCAAGCGATTAAATGGGAATATTTGCAAAAATTATTAGCCATTCAAAAAAAGGAAGGCGTTCATCTTGCAACTAGGATAACGCGAAGGCATTTAAATTGGTATAAGGAAAATGAAAGTCAAATTAGCTGCCCATCACTGCAAAATACACTGATTAAATACTTTTCTTTTCAGACACATTGAAATCTTAGACCTAAAAATATACTTTATCTTTTCAAATGCAGCTCGAGCGAGATTTAGTCTTCTTTTTAGCTCGATTGTTTGGTTGTCTCGACTTATTCTGATCTCATGGCCCAAGTATTATAGGAGTGAACTGGCTCAATATATTTGTCTTCTACTGAAACGTTTTCGTTGTGGACTAAATTTGTCATAAATTGTGTTTTTGAAAAATTTATTTTAAGACCAACTCTTATTGTGTCAGTATGCAGTTCTTGGAGCATTATCTGTGCCTGATC